ACCTCAGTAATGAAAGTAACCAGAAACCATGAGATCTGCCCTAGATACATAATAGGGTCACAAAATTTGACAAAGCCCAGTTGGGAAAGTAGTTAATGGAAGTTAAAAATGCATCATGTTTTGGTTTGCCTCATGTAATTCAGACTGTTTAATAAACCATTTACATTTGCATGCTGGCTGCCAGATGCGGAGCTGGGGGGAGGGGGAGAGAGAGTGTTGGTTCTCAAGCTCTCCAAGCAATTCCTTCCCTTCAGTTTGGGCCAATTTAAGTCCCCTGTCCGTCTCTGAACCAACAAGTGTTCTAATAAGGGAAGGCTGGGCCCTGATGAAGTTCATCCAGCCTGCATCCATCCTGGGCCCTGGGATGGACTCAGCTTCTCTGGCATCACGTGGGTGGTGGGGAGGATGGATTCTCACATAAAATCAGGTAAGGAGGAGAGGGAGCAGGGTACCGCTGACCAGGGCACCAAAGCTCTCCACCACCTGGGGGGCCACCATATGCGATAATCATCTCGTTGCATCTTGGCAGTGACCCATGTGGCCCTTGGCCATGCTGATCAATTTCCTTCTTTATTACTCATAGTCAGGGGAAGTCACCCAGGCCCATATTGGAAAAGGACGGGTATTGCTTCCATCACGTGTCTTTGACCAACAGGCCTGTGAGCTGTGGTCATGCCATCTTCCCTCCCCTTCTCCTCTTTGTTCTGCCTCAGGGGAAGAGACCTCTAACTCCCACCATGAGTCAGCCTTGGCATTAGTGATTTTGAAAATACCCTCTTTTTAATCTTTTTTTTTTTTTTTTCCATGCTGCCTTCTGGAGTCAAGCTCTAAAAACAGAATTTAAAAGTCATCTCCATTGTGTTTGTGATACTCATTTTTTCTACGCTAAAACTGCTCTTTAGTTTGCTGTGTAACTTTTCCTTTGAAGAGATAAATGGCACAGCATCATTGTTGAGAATGTTTAATATATGACATTTGACAAAGTTAACTATAACATCTTAACAGGGATTTCAAAAGCGTTAGGAGAGAAGCCAAACAAATTTTTCTTTGTAATTTAAGAAGAAAGTTTTATTGCAGTTTTAATGTGTAGGGAAACATTACCTATGTTGATTCATGTTATAAGATTGAGGACATCTTGCCATTTTGCAGGAGAAGGAAGCATTTGCCTGAAGGCAGTTTATGTGATTAACCTGGGCATATGATCTCCTTGCATGGAGGTGCTGTCAAATAGTGAATCTAGCCTTTAACTACTCATCAACTCCAATTTTCCCAGCCTTAATTGTTGTCAATGTCAAGTAAATAACATGGAGTTTTGTTCATTGTTCTCTCTCCTTCTTTTGGTAGCTGAGGAAACATATGATTGAACTGACAAAGGACGATTTGTGCTTTGTGACTCTGTTTCTTTTGCCTTCTAAATTGTCTACCCTTTGCCCTCATCTGCCATGCCTCCAATTTATGTCAATTTAAAAGCTTGCTGCAGAAATTAAGAATGCCGGCTCTGGAGTTCATCTGATGGGGATGAATCCTGCTCTATTTCTAGTTCTGTCACCTTAAGCAAGTTACTTACTTTCACTGGGCTCTAGACTCTTCAATAATAAAGTGGTAATAATAACACCTACTTCATAGGGCTGTTGTGGTGATTAAATAAGTTAATATATGCAGAGCATTTAAAATATCTTCTGGCATTTAGAGCTGGGTATATGTTAGTTATTATTATTATTCTTTGATGCCTTCTTTAGGTCCTTCCATACCTCTGAATCTCAATTTCCTTACCTGCCAAACTGAGACCATAATTTGTTCCACACTCAGATGAGCTACATGGGCCTGAACAAGGAACATGGAGGGAGACATCACTAGGAAAACGCTGGCTAATTAACACGGGGCAGCATTGTGTCAAGGCTGCCCTCTATCTCCAGAATCTTTAGAATTCTCACATGCTTGGACTTCCATCACATGCTCATTGAGCGGTGTCGTATCTTCCAATGCAAGCGCTTGCCAAAGCCCCCTTGCTAGGTCAGGAGAATTTATTTTCTTTCGGGAACAAATTCATTTATTTTTTTAAATGTTATTTATTCATTAGTCAGAGGAGTTCTGAGGACAGTATTGACCTTGACGTTGTAAAACACAAGGCTCCATGCCCCGGGCAAGAGCAAGCTCCTGTGCCATCAACCTGTTTGCTCACACAGGACAAGTAAACACAGCCTGCGGGGACAGCGAGGCTCAGAAAGTTCAGAAATGGTCACCAGGAAATGTATTAGAATCTGAAAAATACATAGCCCAAGAGATGGGAGGCGGGGGTTGGGGGGGGGAGGGGCACGGTTTGAAAAAACATTGCCCAGAGAATGAGTTTGTGTTGGCTCCTTGCACAGTTCTTTGGACTGGAGTTAATTCTTCAACCCCTGCTCTCGTTGTGGCCAACAAGGTGCTTGTCAATGTTGCCATGGCAACAAGCCACCTTGGCTCTCTCTGTTGCTAAAGTGTGAACAATAGCTGACTTTGTCACTCTCTCTTTACTTAGTACCAAAATCACAACGTTTATGTAATGGTCAGGGGCCATTTCAAGTGATAATTTCGACTTCAAAAACTTTCAAATTTACCTCAAGAGCAACTTGAAACTGCTGGGGTTAGGCATGAGCTGAAGTAATGTTTTTCATCACTCTTTACTCCTCTCCCTGCTACAGACCCAATTAAAGTTATTTTATATAAGGCCCTGGCTGGTGTGGCTCACGGGATTGAGCGCCAGCCTGCAAACCGGTTTGATTCCCAGTCAGGGCACGAGCTTGGGTTGTGGGCCAGGTCCCTGGTGAGGGGCATGGGAGAGGCAACCGCACACTGATGTTTCCTTCTCTTTCTCCCTCCTTTTCCTTCTGCCTGAAAATGAAGAAATAAAATCTTGAAAAAATTTATTTTACATAATGTCTTTTTATTATGGCTCAGCATCTGTAATCCTCCTGAGAATGGAAATTCTCAAATGCCAAGGACCTTGTCTGTTCTCTTTTGCATTTTTTCCCCTGTCATCTAGAAAGGTACTTGGCATGTCTGGTGCCGAATACATGTTTGTGGGATGAACGGCTAAATATGAATGCTTATCAGAATGACAGACACTCGATTCCTTTTCGGAGGTCTCTTTTCTGTGAGTTGGAGACCAGGCCTTCTAGTATCTGGTATGTTAGCCAGATGCTAACACGCTGTTATAAAGATTATGGCTTCCTGGTTCTTTAGAGGTACATGTGGGAGATCCGTTGTAGCTGGAGTACTTTTGAATGACTTTTTTTATTATGGTAAAAAGAAATAACATTAAATTTACTATCTAAACCATTGTGATTTTTAATTAAAAGTAAAATATTTCATTTGCTTTGAGTAGCATATTTTCTTGGTGGTTTTCCTTCCTGTGGGCATAGTTCCATTTGTTTATTTTTCTTCTGTTTCCCTCGTTCAAGAAGACATATCAGAAAGATACTACTAAGTGGAATTTTAGACAATTTATCACTTGTATTTTTTTCTAGGAGTTTTATGGTTTTGGGTCTTACATTGAAGTCTTTAATCCATTTTGGGTTTATTCTTGTATATAGTATAAAAGGGTGGTCTACTTTCATTTTTTTTGCATGTATTTATCCAGTTTTCTCAACATCATTTATTAGACTATCATTTATTACCCCATTGTATATTCTTGCCTCCTTTGTCATAGATTAATTGACTGTATACAGGCATGGGTTTATTTCTGGGCTCTTTATTCTGTTTCTGTTCCATTGGCGTCTGTTTTTATGCCTGTATCATGCTGCTTTGATTACTTACTGTAGCCTTATAGTATAGCTTAATATCCGGGGGTGCGATTCCTCCCACTTTGTTTTCCAGGCCCCTGAACTTTGACCCGTCCTCAGCCTTATCGGTCCCTCCAGAAGGAGCCCCTCCTGAGAATAGGCTGAGCTGCTCCACGAGCGCTGCTTCCCGCTGGCTCACCTTATCCACCCCGCTCCCTGCACTGGTTCTTCCTAGTCTCGTTTACTCCTCCCTATCAAATAAACCTCCTTGTGCCTGACCTTTGGGACACTTGCAGCTCTCACAGCTGGCGCATTCTCCCTATTGCAACACTCCCTCTGCCCATTGCAACAGTCTCCTTTCCCCTTCGTCACAGTCCTTGCGAATAAAGTCTCTCCTTGCCAATGTCGAGAGTTTGTTTTTATTTGACATTATACTCTGGCTGACTTGAGACTTCTTCTTTATAAAAGCAGAGTCATACCTTCTAATTACTGAATAAAGTACTGAAGAACCCCAATGCCTTCCTTGCATAAATTCTAATAACTTATTTCCTGATTTCAAAGAGCATTTACTTCTAAGCCTGGTGAGTTTACCTCTAGTTTCCTTGAGTCTAAGTTGGTTTATTCCCAGGCCTGAAGACTCCTTGTTTGTCTTGTGCCTTTTTCTCCTGTCCCTCTGGTTTAGTGTAAAGGTTCCCGTCCCTGAGTCTTGAGTGGCTGAGGAGGACAGTATTTGGTTTTCTGGTTCCTGCTGGGATTCTCCAGACAAGGGGCTACAGGCTCCTCCTCTACCCTAATGTCTCCTAGAGCCTCAGGCTCCTCCCCTTCAATGCATTATTCCTACCAGTGGTCCTCAGCCAGTGACAGTGCTGCTCCCCAGGGGCTTTGGCGATGCTGGGAGGCATGGCTGTCATAACCAGGAGTAGCTGATTACTGGCATCTTGTGGGCAGGAGCCAGGGGTGCTGCTAAATATCCTACAATGTGCAGGACCACCGTCTGTGCAAAGAATGATCCAGCCCCAAAGGTCAATAGTGCCTTGGCTGAGAAACGCTGATTGACATGAGCATCACTGATCCTAACAAATTTAGTCGAAGGACATTTGCTTACTTGAAACCTGACAGTGGGGCAGCAAGAATTGTCTACGGGGTGAAGACCCGTCTTCATCCAGTTACACCATGACTCTTTGCTTTCAGGCGCACAAGCTCCTGGAGGAAAAAGGATCAACGACTTGGCCACAAAAATTTATTTGTTAGTTTGCAACATTAAGTACAACTTCACCACATGGTTACAATCCAATATTTGTGCTTTGCAGGATAAGTAAACATTCATTAAAGCACAACAGAAGTACACGCGATATTCTGAGATTGTGTAAAAAATAAATAGGTCCTTTGTCATTTAAGAGCACAGAGAATTTTCAGCTTGAGATGATGGATAAATTTTAAAATTTGGCATTTGATTAATGTGTCAAATTACATGAATAACCTAAATTTGGACTATTTATATCATAAATGCCTACTGAGCGCGGGGAGGGGGCCTGGGGTGGGCGGAGGGAAGGAAAGCGTGGCTTAAGAGGAAGTTGTTGATGTTTCAAGATGCAGATGATACTTAAGGCCAGCCTGGCTGGCCTGGGGCCTTGCTCCCATTTAAAGTTACTTCACAACCTTTAAGAATAGTGTAAAGGCATACTATTTCAGGAAATCTTCAATAACCATCTCCTTTGATCAAGAAAATAAAAGCCAGTGTAGCTTATTTAGTTGAAAGGAAAGGAAGCTCATTAGGGAGAAGTTAGACACTTTCATTTTCCAAAAGACTAAATCTCTGTTATTAAAATATTTAAATACAATAAGGTTTTCTTTTTCCCAAATTAAACACCAGTATCTTTGAATCAGAAGGAGTCTATGATCCTAACTGGTTAGGTCACATCCTCCATCTGTCAGGCTGATTATCGCCTGAGTAGCAGGTCTGCCGTCTGGGTCCGTACCAATGCATTTATAGTGAAACCACTGAGCTCGAGTATCAGTTTGTGACTTAAGATGACAATCTCTTCAGATTTTATGACTCTCTGAAATAACTCAATGTATTATTTAAGATAATCTCTTCATAATTTATAATAATAATACTAATAAAATGAATGTTTATATTTATATAATGTAATACAAAAGCACATTTTTACCTCAAAAGCCTTTCTTTCTTTTATTATTATTATTATTTTTGTATAAAGCTTGCCCTTAGGGTAAGAATTCTGTAACCATGTTAGCCAACTAATACAGAGATGGAAACAAGACAATCTTTGATCCTTCTCTTTCTCAGTTGAACACCAATAGTTTTCTGATTGGTTAGAAATCCAGACATTGTTGGGGAGGTATGGAATATTAGTGAGGTGCAGTAAACAAATGAAAATCCTCATTAGAAGACATTGATGATACGTTTACATTTTTGTTAATATCCAGTGACATTAGTCTGAAAACGAAAATTTTTTTATGTCAAAGTTCTGGAAATTTCTCACCCATATTTTAAGTGTTCACCTGGGCTCACAGCCCTGTAATCTGTGCCAAAAAGTCACATAAAGGTGATAGCATAGTTTACAAAATTATTTTGACCAATGACTTTGTTTCCAGCTGATTCACATAATTGGTGATTTTACACATTGTATATTAAAAATATGCAAGAGTAGCTTTCTTAGAATTTGGGCTTAATTATAAGCTTTTAATCTGAGGCCCAGAAAAGCTCCTGTTTTCCCAGCCACTCTAATATAAACCCTTTTGAATTCACCCATGTGTTGTATGGATTTTTACAGATCTGTATTTTATTTTTCGTCAGATGTATTCCATGGGTAGTAACCTTGAACATTTTTTTTTTATAGCTCTGCTAATGTGATGCAATGTTTGCAGAAGGTTAGAGCATTTAGAGCAAATCAACGTAATCTAAGCTGGAATGCAGGAGAGGAATACTGTACAAGGCGTGGCTGCTTTATCCCAATTCCAGCAGCCAGTCAAAGAGACTTGGGGTCCCATCTTTCTGCTCCTCATGCATTTTGCAGTACTGAACAACAGCGTGGAAGATGTCCCCCACTTTCCAGGACTTCTGATGAACCAGCCGCACAACATCTAGAAACTAAAGTAAAGCACCGAGTTAGAACCACGTGCCACAGATGATCCTCAAAGTCATCTTACTAAACCACTCTTCCAAAGCCAACAGCTCTCTAGGCTATTTCTGAATATCTCTGGTGACATTATACTCTTCCAAGACAGTCTACTTTCTTTCTAGACAGTTCAGCTCATCAGAGAGTTCTTCCAATTGAACCAGGATCTTTCTCACAGTCGTTGCCGTTCATTGATGAGAAAGACTAGATGAAATTGTTCTTTCAAGAGTCTGTCTCTTCAATATTTAAACAGTTTCCTCTGGTCTGAATTTCTGTGGAATAGACTTTCTCTGACCAGGTGGTATAGTATGGCTCCCAATACCTTCTGTATGTGTCACAAATAACCTCTCAATTGGAGATATATATTTAGACCAAATAAACCAAGTGCTAAATTTTGCATTGGGTCCCCTGTTGGTTCCTCATTCCACCTGGGAAAGTCCCCTCCACCATCATCAAGCACTAAGATAGGTTGTTTTTCCATTGCAACAGGAAAAGGAAAGACTGAGGAAGCACCCTAAATTTATCGCCCGTACTAGCTTCAACTGACCACAATACAGAAAGTTTTTGAGACTGCAGGTAAATTGTGAACTGAAGTGTTGGAAGATGGGGAAATCATTATAGATCATTCCCTTCATGATATTGAATGCTTTGGGATGGAGCCCAGCCTGAAGACCTCTCAAACTCTTTAGTAAGATAATTTTTAAAAAGTAACCATTATTAAGAACTTGTAAGAAGTACTTTGTGCATGTAATCTCATTCAATTCTGTCAACACCCTATGAAGTGGGCATTAACAGATGAAAAAATTGACGGCTTGAGAGATTAAAAAGTTGGTAGTATGATGAATGGTTTTCTAACATTCCAGTCCAGTGCTATGGCTAATCCAGCACCAGGCTGCTTTTTGGTGGTAGAAGAACAACGTATTGATATCTATTTGGAACATTGGGACAAGGGATTGGCTGGGGATATAATACAACTTTTGTGAAGAAGAACGACCTATTCGGAAGATGAGGGTTGTGGTTTAGTGACTGTTTCTTCAACATTTCCTCCCAGGATTTTTTGCTCTGCTCCTTTTGTGTTTGCTCAGATTTCTAAGATCAGCCAGAAACTGAAATTCTAATTTCTATCTGTATTTTTCCTTCTCTCCAGCTTGAATTTGTTAATTCATTTCCATGACTGTGAAGTCATCTTCCAAAGAACCACCATTGAATTATGTTTCTTCTCGCAGCTGTGGCAGCACCGATTCTTTGTGCAGTGATAGAAATCAATGCTTTATTGTACTTGCCTTGTGTTGGCTTAATCAGACTAAAGCAAGTTTTTAGCCTTGAAAATGAAATACTTAACTTTTAATGCATAGAAACATAAACATTATCTCAAAGAGTTTTAGGATGATATAAAAAAGGAGACGGATGGGAGGCTGATAGTGACTCTGTTATAGATAGTAATCTCCCAGGGAAGAGCAGCATCTTAGCCATCTTGTAATATCTTGTGTCTGTACTTAATAGGTACTCAATAAATATTTGCTGAGTGACAGAAAGAACGCATATTCAAATGTAAGTCAAATGAATTCAAGATGAGCAGGAAGACCATTTGGAATATGGAGTGACATCCAGAATCATTACTAATGAACCTTGTCTACGTATATATTCTTGAGTTTTATGTAATGTATTTGCAATGATATAATTAAAAATAAACTTGCATATTTTAAGGCTGCTTACTCAATAATTTTCTATTGATAGGATGCTTGTCAAAGATGATTAGAGGCCATGGATGTAGGCAAAGGCTGAAGAGAGCTTAGACTGGGGCAATGGTAGTGAGCAAGGAGCAAGAGAAAAGCTGGTCATGGGGCACTGGCAATGGTCCAGCAACTAAGAGTGAGTGTTTTGCGGGTGGACAGCCAGGACTTTTCTTCACTGCTCATTGCAACAGCAGTGGAGGGTTAGCTCCATCAGCTCCGTCGGCCTCAGTCATAGAATTTCGGAGACTCTTAATTGTCTGCGACCCCTCACAAGTCTTCCTCCCTTCTTGTCTATCCTATTCCTGAAATTTGAAAAAGCTTAATCCTTTAGGTTAAAACCTTCCTTAAAATGCAGATCCCCTTACATAGGGGAACATTACTAGCAGCTATTAGTAAGTTATAGAGATGCATACAAATAATTTCTTGAGCAGTTACTTATATCCTGGTGTGTGTAAATCATCTGAGGCATGTTTTCTACTGGACAAATTGGTAAAAACATGAGGCATCAGGGAAAAGGGGAGAAAAGCTAAGATGCCTTTGCATGATTTCATTAATTAGATTTTTCAGTTCTTACTGGAAGTCCAGAAAGTATTAAGTGTTCTCTATGCAGAAGGTGTGAACCTTAAGTTTCTGAGATCTCACTGTGAAAGGATCATAGCTTGTTGACTTCTCCTCAAGATTTCCCTCAAGAGTCACCAGTGGCCTTAGCCCAGACAGATCTCTTGAGAGTATCTCCTCCCCCTTAGTATGTCTTATGAAAATGCAGTCAACATAAAGTACATGGAAGTATAAAATAAGCCTTAGCTCTTTTCTTTTTTCTTTCTGTGAATCCTGGTTCACTGGATCACCATTTTGCTCCTAACTTTCACCTCTGAGTCACTACTCTGAAAGACAATCGAAGTTCTGGGGAAGATACCAATAATTGTTAAACCTTTCTCAGAAGGCTCTCTGCAGCAGACCTTTCTAGAAGCCCACTATCATTTTTTTTCCAATCTATATGGGAATTGCTGAAGGAGGGTCTCCCAACGTGGTTGACTGACCTGTCAAAATGTTGTCAAAATGTTGTCAAAATGCGCCACCAGCAAGGCCACTGTGCCAGTAACTTGTGCAACGGTCACAGGCTGGAATCTGTCTCATGATTTCTAAAACCAAACCCATATCCTGATAATATAGCTTTTAAAAGTGATCTGGTCCCACTAAATATACCTTGCTCTGAGGCAGTGACTTAATCTCAGACATTGAGACCTTGAACCATCTGCTCGGCTGATGGGCAGGAAGGTCATACACCTTTTTTCCCTTCATTGACAGAAATTTCTAGAGAAAAATAAAACTTCTGTGTGAAGAAGCCAGAAAAGGACATTTCTAGCTCATTACCATAGACTTTGAAAACCACATTCTAAATAGCAGCTGATCCTAGATTTTTCATTGTGCCTTTACAATTTCATAATCAGCTTTCCTATGTCAGGGAGCTGGGTGTTTCTTTCCAATTAATTGAAAAAATAAAAGTCAAAATTGTCCTCTTCTTGCCACTTCACTTATAATTGAAGGGTCAATAATAATTGAGTCCCTTCATATATGTCACCATTGGCATTTCCCTAAGCAAATGTTTTTTCTTAGGAAACTAGAAGACTTTATATCCCGTGATGGTATATCATTAGAAGATGCATTTGGAAAACAGTACCGCATAGCAGGCGGCTTTTAGATTCTCAGGTGCATTTGCCCAATTAGGTTGCTTAACAAATCACATGATGGAGTCTGGGAGCTGCTTCCAATTGTGTGGGTATTTTTTTTTTTTTTAAATATTCAGCATAGACTTCTGAAAGCAAGTACCTCCTTTTGCTCGAGGCAGAATTCCATGTCATTAAACATGCGTGAGCCGGTCTTTACATTGCCGCTGCAATGGCAGCCTGTACAGCTGTGGTACTCAGCCTTGCCTGCACCCTGGAGCTGCCAGGGACCCCTGGAAAACCCCTGGAAAACCCCGGTGTCTGGATTTCATCTCTAGAGGAGATTCTGATTTAATAGCCAGAACATCGAGGACTCTAAAATCCTCCAGGTGATTTTAGTACACACTGATTTTGACAATCATGACTAAGGGATTGAGCTCTAGAACATTTCTTACATATATAAATGAAGAGGCTTAGTACGTATTGTGAATTGAATGGATCCCGCTCCCAAATTCATATGTTGAACCCTTAATCACCAGCGGGATAGTATTGGGAGGTGGGACCTTTGGGACATTATAGTTTTAGATAAGGTCTTGAGGACGGGACTCTTATGGTAGGATTCATGTCCTTATGAGATGAGGAAGGGACACCAGAGCCTTCTCTGTGTGTTGTGTGAAGATACAGCTAGGAAGAGCATTTTCACCTGCAACTAAATCTGCTCTTCCCTTGCTCTTGGACTTCCCAGCTTCAAAATGATGAGCAATAAAAGCCTATTGTCTAACCCACTCAGTCCATGGTACTTTATTATAGTAGCCCAAGCTGACTAAGAATCTAATTATTCCTTCTTTTTCCTTCTTTAGCTGTGTACTTCTTCAAAACTGAGACTTTGCCCCAGTCTGGTAGCTCAGTTCATTCCAGCATCATCCTAATATGTCAAGGTTCAGTTCTGGTCAGGGCACATACAAGAATCAACCAATGAATGCATAAATAAGTGAAACAACACATTGAACAAATCTCTCTCTCTTTCTCTCTTTTTTCCTCTCTCCTTCTTGCTTCCTCTCACACTTAAATCAATAAATTAAAAAAATTTAAAAAAACCCTGAGACTTTAAAGGTAGTGTTTTTTTAAATAGTTATGCTAACAGTCAATATCATCAACATTTTCCCTATTATTCTCTTTCCACCGCTTTGCATGTGGAATGGAATGAAAATTAAAGGTGAGGCTAACTTCTTCTTTGACCCCCACTTTCTTAGGAAGGTAAGCATACAACTGTTTCCTCTCTTTCCTCTTTTATGCACTGCTTCCAAGAAAAAGAAATAATTCTGAAAGCAGGCTCAAAAATGAGAAAGGCACTGGGTTTATTGTGAGGCTAGTCGCCAGCCCACTCCAGTTCACAGAGGCTCACTAAATTTAAATAGAAGAAAAAGAGCCAGAGGTCAACAATGCCTCAGACCCCAAAAGCAGGACAATTAGCCAGTTGGTGTAATTTTTTATAAGCATTTGCTTTCGTGATTCTTTCATCTGTCTCCTATAAAATGGATTAAATTGAACTGATGTCAAGGTCATTGTGAATTAAATTTACAAGCTGTTTTAGATTATTAGGTGTTAGGATTCTCAGCAATCTTTGCCCAGGAATTTAGCATACTTATGAGCCACCTGAAATTTTGCCTGTTTTTCAGGATATTTCCTGTGGCAGATGGCCTCAAACTTTAGAGCTCAACAGAATCACCGCACTTGAGGGAAATTGTTAAAAATGCATATTCTTGGGCTCCACTCCTAGAAGGGCCTAAAAATGTGAATTGTAAATAAATGCCCCAGATGATTCAGTACATCTGGCTCATGGTTTCAGTGTAAAATTTGCTATTTCAGTGTACTTCTCATTTCCTTTGTCCAGAATAAGTTATTTTCATATTTCAAGGTTGCTATTTACAACCTGAGCCTGAATCGGTTTAGGTTCTCTCTATCTTGGGTTCTTCTAGAACTAGAATGCGAACTCTAGTAAAGAGAGTAGGAAATGTCGTCTCTTTTGTTCTATCTGTCCCCAGAACCTAGAACAGTGCTTGGTGTGTTGTACATGCTCAATGAATGTTTAATGAATATTCTGAATGTATGACTTTTAAGTAGACAGCATTTTAATACATGGACAAAATACAATGAAAGAGAGTTTGAAAATGAATGTCTCCTTTATCAGGGAGGAGTCACAGTATATTGGGCACCCCAAATGTTTAAAATTTGCCATTTGAGTTGAAATAGGACTGGAATTAATTTTAAGCTGACTTTACATGCTCCCCAACTCCAAGGTCAATGGTGGGAAACATAAGGTTGTTTCAGTGTTCATTCATGATATCCTTTGCCCTGTTAGCTTAGTCTGTATTTTCACAAAGTGAGAGGGTTAATATGTGGGAGATATCATACGGGAGGAATGTTGGCTAAATTAATTTATTTCCTAAAAAATCAGAATTCACACAGGTAAGGACTAAGGGTATACATTTCTGAATGGCGTTTAATCCTCAAGTGACAGTGGGAAAATAACACTTGGAAACTCCACCTTCTCCCAGCTGGTGAGGAGCTAAGGAGGTGCTGCTGCTCTTTCGTGACCCAGCTCCTCAGCAGGGGGCCACGGTCTCTCCTCCGCTAGGGCCACCCAGCCACCTGGCTTGTTGGAAGATAATCAGAATGAGGTCTCCAAGGGCACAACTGATTTGAAAAAGTCAAAATTCTGCTTATGGGTTTGCTTTATTTAACCAGTTCTGTTAAAGACAGCAAACAGTACCCATTTAATTGGAGAAGCCATTTATATGGAGAATCTGAACCAGTTCCAAAAGAAAAAAAAAATACGAGAATTTGTTTTTAACATTACATTACTTGGTAATAAGGTCCTGATGCTAAATGGAATGAATTGGATCACCATTTAATGTTTTTATTCATAAAACTGGTGGAACACTTACTGTCTCAGGAAAATTGTCACAAGGAAAGATAGGTATTCTCTTTGACAACTGACAATCAATGGGGATAAATTAATATTGTCAGGGCATGATTTACATAATCAAAGTGTTAGTGACGCAGCCCTTGGGCTTTTGCCTAATGGGAAATTATGAGGCATATTTTCACATAAACCATTATGTTGATTCTTCAAAATGGTGGCTGTATAAAAAATCTCTTCCATTAAGAGACCATCTGAAAAGGCACCATGCAACGTTCTGGAGATGAAGTTGGCCAACACCCAGCCTTTTTCATTTTTCCAGGAGTCTGAGAATATATTTTCCCTAGAATGTCCTTGTCCTCCTCCCCATGGCAAGGGGTCTCTGGGACTGTACATGGCAGGATGGAGGGGTCAGATGCAGAATGTTCTTTCCCTTCACTCTTTGCACTGGGCAGGCTGCGTGGTAAAGTCGAAGGAGAATTTACCAAATAGCAAATCACTCATCACCTTGCACACAAAGTATAAGCTGGTATCTAGATTCAGGTAGTGTAGAACTGTAGGCAGTCCTAGGCACCAGGAGGAATATAAACTACTGGTTGGAGACAGGTTTACGTGGGAGAGGGCATGCGAAATAAATCAGGTGCCCTTCTTAGCTCCCCAGTCGTCGGTTTCACTGGCTGGTGTTGCAGCCACGGGGAAGCTGTTTTAACTGCCGTGCACACGGGCAAGGTGGTAAAGGGTCTTTCGCTTCAGGCCGCTAGATTTTGGCAGTGAGAACGAGACTATAACTACATATTTAAAAAATCAAGACTATAACTGCAAGGCAATTTTATTTGAGACAGACACTGTCGAGAGGTATTTGTGGAGACAGCAGGGTTCCAGGATGAGGCTCTCCCACCTCTACCTGAGGACTCTCCCATGGGTCAGCCTCTCAGAGTCCCGACTTGTTCATTCGCAACAAAGGGACAATAATACCCATTTTCCTCTTCTCACAGGAATGTTGAGAAACAGGTACAATAAGTAGGTGGAGATGCTTTGTGACAATAAGTCATTTAAAAAATGCATGTGGGCACTGATAGGCAGGATCCTAAAACAGCTCCCAAGATTTCCTACCCTAATGCTTGATACCAAGAATAGAATGAGAGAATTATGCTCCCATTATGTTACCCTACATGGCAAAAGAGATTCTTCAGTTTCTGACTTAATCAAATGGGAGACTCTCTGTTGAGCCTAAGCTAGTTGCATGAACCCTTTAAAAGCAGAGCTTTCTCTGATTGGTGGCAGAAGTAAGAGAGACTGATAGCATGAGAATGTGGAAGGGCCTTGTGATAAGCAATGCAGGTAGCTCTTAGAAGCCGTGGGTAGCCATTGGCTGATAGCCAGCAAGGATATGAGGACCGAAGCCCTACAACCACAAGGAGCTGAGTCAGGACAACCTGAACGAACCTGAGCTTGTTCCTACCTACAGTTTCCAGATGCGGGCCCCGATGGGCTGGCATCTTGACTGCTGCCACGCAAGGCCCTGAGCAGGGAGCATAGGATGATGTACCAGACTTCTGACAGCAGAGATCAGTGTTGCTGCTTTAAGCCAATAAACTTGTGGCAGTTTTTTACGTAGCAATAGAAAATAGATATGGTAACATTACCATTCACTCGAAAAATTTAAAAAGCAGCACACTTTCAAATGATGGACAATTGAACTTGAAGAGGGACGAATCCTTCCCTTAATCTTAATAATTGAGATTCTACCACAGTTATTAGTAGGTCTTAGAAGTATGGAATTCGAATGACAGTGGCTATTGATTATGATGTTGATCAAAGGTGTATTCCCTAGTTTTATATTCTGGTAAGTGGGGAATGATAATGAGAAAGTCTCCCTCATGCAAAGCTGTTTGGTAAGGAATTAAAAACGCCTTCACTTTAACACCATGACGCAGTCTGTTTTAAATATCAATGTGGCTTCACTTTGGTTTCCAGTATATACCAAGCCTTTCCTTCTACCTTCTGTTTAAATGAGTGTTCCAAAGAGATTTGTTTCAGAAAAAGGACACGTAAAAAACCCAGACTATTGAAAAAGTTCCTATCTCAATTTACTTTCTCATCTTCATCAACTAGCTGAGACAGACTGAGGGTCGAAGGAAAAGTAATCGTGATTATATTTATGCAGTGGAAGTCTTCCAAGTTCCAGGCACTGTTTTAAGGTGAACAGTCACGAACAAATAATTCAAGTTCAAATGGGTTAACTGGGCATTTACTGAGTTTTCAGCGGGGACAAAAACACAAACTTCATTGCTATCCAACATGAAACACCATACCTTCTCAATTCTGTTTTCCTGAGATTTCTGAAAGTAGATGGTAGGAATCCCAAGTTCAGAGGCAGCTATCCACTGCAGAGTGGCTCGAAGCTCAGCGTCAGGACACTCCGGCTCCAGGTCAAAGTTGATCACCAGCAGGCCGCCCTGATGGCTGGCTGCTCCCACAGGCGCTCCAGGGGCACATTCTGAACACAGACAATGACACAGCCTCACCACGCTTTCCACAGGGAGAGCGCGGGCCAATTGTGTGTCAAAATTATGGGAACGTGGCTTACCCTCTCCTTTTTCTGACTGTTCTTTAAGAATCTCCTTTTCTTCTACTAATTCACTTTGGGAGAAAACAACAGTATATGGTTGGTAATGTGTAGGGAGAGTAAGCTGTAAATGGAAGATGAGGTGATGGGTTTTATTGATCTAAAAGCTTCTAATGTTTCATTCTATATTTATTGCTTTCAGAGACGGAAGTGATACTAGGAAAAATACCAGTGTGGCTGTTATATAGGACTATGGATCTTTGATAAATATTCTACCCCTAAAAAACAAAAAGGCCAGAGAAACTACATGGTTTTAGTAGGGATAATTAGTGTGGAAGACTCTGAGAGAGGCATCTTTCTCAAACTTCTTTCTATTAATCTTCAGAGGTTGGAACAGCCCAGGAGAGATTATGTTAACTAGTTTTGATTGGAGGATTTATCCTTCTCCCTGTTTCACCTGTCATTTAAAAGATCATGTGTTTCCTTCTTGACACAAATGATTTTTTTCTTATACCATGACACTAACATAAATTTGCATTTTAGCCTAGAAAAATAGTTTTTACATGGATATGGTTCCTTGATATGAAATAAAGGAAAGATAATCAATGAACTGCAGAATTTAAATTGTACAACAAAATATCTCAATTAGTTGACATTTTTCTTTTTCTTTTTATCCAAACAATGTAGTAAGCTGGATGTGGTTTAGAACTAAAGATGCATGACTAAAGTGAATACTTCCTTAAATACAAAAAATTCAATATTTGAGGTGTTTTCAAAATACTGAGTACTTATTGGGGAGCCCTGAGTATAGCGGGAAGACTCAGCAAATGTTTGCAAAGATGAGAACATATGGCCCAACAGTTAAAAGGAAGTGATTACTTTGGGAAACCCATGGCTGTCCTGTGTTTCTGTTTAAAAATTAAAGTACAAGGGCTCTTAAAAATATCTTTTTATGAGAGAAGTTTCTCTCTTATATTTTATGTTACTGCTAAGATCTGGATGATAAATTACATTATATTCCTAACATTGAGAGGACTTAGTTCTTACGTGCACACCTAATAATTACATAGAAGGATGACCAATTTCCTAAGGGTCTAGATTTTCTGTTAGATCTCTAAGTGAGTGACATTAGGCGAAAAGACACGTGGTTGGTACAGTTTCTGCTCTTATAATGCTGTACAAGGCTGCTCGGTGTGGTGGTGGCCTTGGTTTTTCCTGCGTCCATATCGTCTGTGGGGTTGTAGGCTCATGCCATGGAGAAAGATGAAAAAAGCAGCTAAACAAATGGTTCCTGAGGGAGGAAAGTGAATTCGTCCCAAAGTAGTTTTTTATTTGTTTGGTACTCCCACAGGCAAGATACTTGATTACATAATAAAGCAAAATGCTTTAGCTATAGAGAGTAATTGAGGAAATAGGTCAGAGAGCTAATTTTGTCCTATACTTTATTATCGCTTTTTTTTCCTGAAATTTCAGAAATCTCCAATAGTAAGCTAAGTCATCACGGTCAAAAAATAAATTGCAATTCATTTAATTTTCTGGAAGCATCACAGATTCTAGATGTAGTCCTGACCTCATGTTGCTCTTCCCATATTTTGTGTCACACATATTGGGTTTCTCTCAGTGCATTTCCCCCTTGTTCCTTTTGCAGGTTCTCGTGGTGTAGGGGCAGAGTTTCTGTGTGAGAATGACCCATCTCCAACACGGCACCGTTTGGTGTTAGGCACATTTAGTAGTAATACTCCCACGTGTCAACAAGCAAAGGAAAAGCCATCACACTGTAATATATTGAACAATAGTCTTTGTGGGTTGGCATGGTACAATTTAAATAGATTTTAGCTTCTCAGTGTCCAATGTGGTAAAATGACATATTTCTAATTATATGGATGAGCTTTATCGGAAATGATTACATCATAGGGGGCAGCTTTGTAAACCAGAAGGGAGGTGATGGCCGGCTAGGCTTATTCTAGGCTTGAGTTCTTGCTCCAGTGACATGGAACCACACACGCCTGGGGACCACAGCAGTACAGACATCATGAAATCAGTGGCTGGGCACCACCTGAGTGATCACAATGGATTGCCAGATGGAACTGGAGTGGCGGCTCACAATCACTGCGCCTCTGTGGCTACTTACTTAATCATGGGAGAAGATGGCATGCCTTCCTGATAAATGTCCAGGTCCATAATGCCAAGACTGCTAGTGGCACTACTGTTGCCATTGCTGACAAAGCAAAAATTACATGTTAATGCCAGTCTCCACCCCCTGGCCATACTAATAATCTACTGTCCTCAGGGTTCCTTGCTTTAGTCCCCAGAATAATTTAGGTGTCTAGGACTCCTAAATTGACATTTATTTCTGACCCGATTAGGAGAACGCACAACAAAAGACATTTTTGGCTCAAGCCAACCACCATCAATGTTGTCTGATTTCTGCAGTGGTGTTGTGTTACACCAGGTAGATCACACCTCGTAGGTGACATTAGAATACATTTTGTCTTCCTCATTCTAGTTACAATAAAGATGTTTATCTGTTAGCAAAAGACCCACAGGAGGTAAGATACATCTGAGAATTCTGCCTGGGAAAGATACTGGAATACTCATCTGCCTGCTTTTGACAGAAACCAGTGGGTGCACATTGTCTCCTTGCCATTCAGGGGATTTTTCTGGAGGGTATTCCACAGGATGTGCACCTGGCTCATTGTTTGTTTGTTTGTTTGTTTTTTTGAACTACAGAATTCACAAGTACAAAGTTGGGGAATGCCAAGTTTTATAGTTCTTTATCTTAAAATCTTTGAGAAGCAGCAACATCTGCTTCCTCATGTATCATGGAGATCACATAATTGTGCCTTTGTCAAAGGTTGCACAACCAACATATGGTCAAGTTACTAGCCTGAAACTTATTTACTGAAACAGAAGAGTTGAGCTAATTTTTAGGTTCTGTCTGTACTTGCCAAATGGAATGCATTCAATTTCACCAAACACACTGAGTTTCCCCACACCTTCTCTATTTTCCAGTAACATCTCTTCCAAGTAAGGTTTCCAAAGGGTGAGACCTTTGTAATAATGGTGTATGGTAAGGGGGCGGTCTTCCCTTGGGAACACCATGAGTAACTAACTAGACTCCTTTCATTTCAAATTCCTGTCTTGGGTTTTGTGTGGGGTGCTGAATGTATTCATTGATTGAAACCTGATGACTCAGACCTTGTGTTGAAAGTAATTAACGCTATCAACTTCTGCTAAGTCCAAAGATTGAAATTCTCATTGCTTTTGTGCTCTACATTGTTTTCGGAATTTTAGACAAGTTGTTCAACATTGTGAAATTATCCTAAGTCCAAACAGACTGAACTACATGAAGTAAAACTTTCAAGGGGTCAGACACTCAAATGTATCTGAATCCCATTTTCAGCTGGCCTCTGTGCAAAGTCTCCAGCGTCAAAGACGACTTCGGGCTGAGCCGCGGATGCTGTTTTCATTTTTACTTTATGGAGGGATAATTTTTAGTTATATTTGCTGACTGGCTGGGGCCCAGTCAGATCTGACCTCTGATTAGCTCCTCCCTAGTTTTCCCAGAGCAACAAGAGAGAGAAGGGCAGAACAAGCAGAGGAACAGCCAGGCCAAACAACACAACAAGGTGTGGAAACACTTGCCTCATGTAAACCCAGCCTGGGTTGCATCTGAAATACAAATGAACCAGAAAGAAAGTATCAACCACACCAGATGTAATAGCAGCTCTCATTAAGAAATTCACAATTGTCATCATTGAATGCATGAGCTGGGGCTTGCAGACAAAGGAATGCAGCTGATTTCTCAACCTTGGCCAAGGTGATTGAAACCATTATTGGATGTTAAGCTACCTTTCAGCACATATCATGAGAGTCAGACACCTTGACCTAGTGAGAGCTTTCTCTTTTGCACTCTCTATTAGGAACTCTTTGCAGAGACTGTTTTTAAATGCATATCTGAAATATGTGCTGAGACCTCTTTCCCTGGGAAGTCAAATGAAGGGCAGGTACCTCATGGATCGCTCACTGAACTGCAGAAAGCTACTTGTGTCGTCTGGGTTGTCCTCTTCATTGGCGAGCTGGGACCAGCTGTCTGTGCTCTCCCCGCTGCTGCTGGGAGGGTTGGGGACCTCACTGGGGGCTCTGCCTTCTGTGGAGACTTCAGCCTCTGGTCCATCTCTGGCATCACGGCTGTCCCTGTAGGTGGTAAGATATTATTATCATGAGTGGGAGCAGAAGACTGAACTTTCCATGGGCCCTTGCTGGCTGCTCTGTTGAGCACGCATCTCTACCACTGAACAGGATGTTCTTGGACACAGGTGCAGTCTTTCTTTTAGGCTAATGCTTTTTCCTGGTGCCCTAGGTCCCATTTTGCTTTTTCAGGATAACTCTCCATCAGTTCTCCCACCTCTTCATTTGATGTCTTTCTTTTAACCCCCTCCATTCATTTAAAATACACCTGTAAGTAGAACCCCAGTCTCCATACGTAAGGCTTATTGAAGAGCAGTTGTGTTTGAAATGAAGACACTCAGAGTGCCCTCCTCAGAGATCATGATTCAGGGTTTCTGCAGAGAGGCCCACCCCTGGTGATTCTCATGCAAGTGGTAGGTGGACCTTGCTGGGAAAAAATGCCCAGCCCAGTGCTGGTGCTTTCCAAAGTCATTTTGCCTAGAAATGCCTCTAAACCTATTTTGCACTTTCAGGCACGTTTTTACACCATCCTCTTCCTTAAAACCTGTGATTTATATCAGCACCACTTTTCTGGAAAAGACGAAGTAAGCTCTCCAGAGTTTTTAACCCTTGATCTGACAGGCTTCATTCCTTGAAGCTTCTCCTCTCTGGCCTCTCTGGAAGTTCTCCTTGTCTGGACACTTTTCCCTTGGGACTTGGTTCACCGTTTTGCCTTTAGATGTCACTACAGCCAGGTCTGATGGCTCACTGCCTCCTTTCCAGCTTCTTCCTAAGCAACCTCATCTACTCTCCTGCCTGTGAAAATAGCTTTCAAGGCTGAACTCCAGCTGGGACCCTTCTTCCTGATTTTGGGGCTCTATTCAGCTGGTCCTCTGGCCATATCCAACCTGTCTCATTAACATCCCAAAATCAACACTTTTAAAACAAATTATAATATCTTTGCCTCCTCTTTCTGTGTTTTTTATTTCCACTGATTTTTTTTCAGAGGATTTGGGCTTAAAATCTTGCAGTCTTCTGCATTCAGTCCTCTACATTCGATCGGTTGCTGTATTCTTTCAGTTTCATCTCTAAAGTATCTTTCACATACTTATCTCTGTCTCTATATTCATAAAATAATCTTAATTTAGGTCCTTGTAAATTGCTAGAATTTTAGATTTGAAAGAAACATCATAGATTTCCAGTAGATTAGGATGTGAGGCCCAGTGAGGTCCAACGAGTTGGTATCAGACGTTGGATCTCAAGTTTTGAGTGGGGGCACTGCACCCACTGTTACTCTTTGGCTGGACTATACTGTATCAGGCTCCAAACGCGAGAAGTTCCAACTGTTTCTCTTCTGAAAAACCTTCTACACACTGCTGCTGAATAAATCTTCTCAAGACCTATTTTTGACCATTCTCGTCAAAAACCTACAAAAACTCTCTGAAGCTAAACTCTGTCCTTTAAGGTCTTCTCTGTCTACTCAGTTTCATCTGCCTCCATCCTAGTCATTCCTAAGCAAACAAAACGATCTGTTGTTTCTCAAACATACCAGGGATTCCCTTTCCTTTTCATCTTTACCCCATGGCTTACTCTGACCAGATGCTGGAGACAAGGGTGCTTTGAGCATTGTTCCTGCAGTCCAGCTGCTGTAGGTTGCCCTAGGCCTAACCCCAACCCCAACCCCAACCCTAACCCTAACCCAAACCCAAACCCTTCCACCATCTGTCACTTATTCAGCCTAAGAGAAATAATAATTCTCATCTCCCCAGGGTTTTTGAAACATCTAAATTAGAAAATAAAGATTATCAATGCATTTATCTTAGTGCCTGGATCCTCACCCCTAAGATTCTTTCTCACATCATTTTGGAAAAGTATGGTATTGTGGTGTGGCTGTTTCTAGCATGGTGTGCTGCTAACACTTGGGAAAAAAAGCTCCTTAATAAGATTTTGTTTTAAAAAATGTTGCTATTCTCCCAAATTAAGCTGGGAGAAAGGAAAAGAATTGATGCAGCCAGAGAGACATTTAGTGAATTTAGTTAAATTCAAATGAAAGGAGTTCATTGGTAACAAAGAGAAACAATAAATACATTCCACAAAAAGTGGAAATGAACCAAGTACTGAGCATAGAGGAGAGAGCTCCAAAACCATTTGTTTGTTATTTAAAAAGTAATTTCCTAGACTAATATTTTTTACTGAATTAGAACCTTATGTTATTAGAAAAATTTATTCCAGGATATTTCTTACTAAAGCAGAAGTTACATCTCAGTGATTGACACTGAACATCCAGGTTAAAAATGAGTCTGTCAGTGAACTTTCTTTATCTAAATTTCATGCCCTATTTTACAGTAAATCTCATATTCCATGTTACATAACTGGGGAATTCAGAATGAATAATGGTAATCAGAAACACTGGCTTTCATTTTCTTTTGAGACAATTTATAGCTCTGCTTGTTTGTTTCTGCATAATGCATAGGTGTGTTATGCAGATATGTGTATTTGGCTTTTTTCCACTTCTGATCGCGCAGATCATGCACAGAGCTTTAGGAGATGGCATTTGATATGCTATCAAATTAAGTCGTAGATCTTCTGAGTTCTCAGAGATCTCAGCGGTCATACAGCTCAGCGTCCCCCCAGCTTCATTTATAGCCGACCACTGTCATGCTTTTGCCATTAGCTGTATTCCCTCTGTATTATAAGAATAACAAAGTTGTTATAATTAGTTAACTTCATAGTACCTATATATGCTTATTTTAGAGAGAAATTTGAGCCACTACTATAAATGGAAAAGAAGAATCACTTGCCATAGGTAGAAGGTAACAATAAAACTAAATACGTAACTACAGTAAGAGTGCTCTTTCCAATAAGCCATGCAGTTGTTTATTATGGTAAAAATTAATTGAAAGGGGAAGATTATGATAATTATACTTTATTTTACTCTTAAATACTTTATTTTAGCTGTAAATGCATAAAATAAACATGTACTTATTTGCCAACTTCTGGACTATAAGAGCTTTTGGTTTCATCAGTTTTCTCTATTTTTATAATCATTAATTTCTGCTCTTATTTTTTAAATTTTCTTCCTTATGTTTCTTTGGGTTTAATTTAATCATCCATTTTTACCCTAAGATGGAAATTTAGATCATTTATGTAAAATAATTCTTCTTTAAAGAGAAATAAAGGCATTAATTTATTTCCTAAGTAATGCTTTAACTGCATCCCACATAGTTTAATGTGTTGTGTTTTCATTTTCATTAAGTTCAAAATTTATTCTCATTTCCCTTGTGACTTATTCTTTTACTAATGAATAACTGAGAAGTGTGTTGCTGATTTTCAAAAATTTTGGAGGATCTCCCAGACATCTCTTTGTGATTGACTTTTAGTTTAATTCCATTGTGATTGAAGAACATACTCTATATGATTTCAATTATTTTGAAAAATAATAATACTTGTCTTGGTGAATGTTTCAAGTACATTAAACAAATGTGTATTCTGTTATTGTTGATGGAGTGTTTAATAAACATTTATTAGGTCAAGTTGATTGAGAACAGTGTTCAAGTCTTTTGTATCCTATTGGCTTTCTGCCTATTATTTTATCAGTTAATGAGATAAAAGCGTGAAATTTCCAGCTATAATTTTGAATTTGTCTATTTCTCCTTCCAACTCTACCAGATTTTGTTTCATGTAGTTTGAAGTTGTTTTATTTAGGGAACTATATATTTGTAATCATTATATCTTTTTTATGAATTGGCCCCTTTGTTATTATAAAATATCTTTGTTCCTGATAAAATCTGTTGTCCTAAATTCTGCTCAGTCTGATATTAATATAGTTATTCCACCTCTGTTATACTTCTTTTCCCACCATTTTACATATAACTTATCTGTCTCTTTACATTTGACATGCATTTCTTATAGTTATGGTAGAGTTTTGCTTTTCTAATCAGTCTGACAATCTCTGCCTTTTATTAAGGATGTTCAAACCATTACTATTAATGTAATTATTATATGATTGAATTTAAATATATCAGTTTATAATTTTTCATTAGCACTATCTGTTCTTTCTTCTTTTTTCCTTTGTTTTCCGCATTTTTCTGTGTTAATTGAAAAATTTTTAGAGTTTCCATTTTAATACCACCATTAGCTTACTAGCAAAGCTCTTCATTTCATTTTTTTAGTAGTTATTCCAGGGATTGCACATCTTTAATTTATCAGTCAGCCTTCTGATTAAATTATATGAATTCACATAGACTGGGAGACTCTTATAACAGTGTATTCCCATTTCCTCCTCCCATCCTTTGTGCTGTGATTGATATATTTTAGTTCTACATATGTCATAAACATTTCTTTTGTTTTACATATTTATATTTTAAAGAAATTTTAAAAGTAAGAAAAAGTGTTTTATATTTACCTACGTGTTTACTATTTGTGGAATTCTTTGTTTCTTTGTCTAGATCCAAGTTTCCACCAGCATTATATTCCTGCAGCCTCAAACTTCCATGAACACTTCTGACGCTCCTCTTGTGGCCTAGTCTCTGATATTTTATTTTCATAAAAGGTTACTGTTTAGGTTTCTTCAGTTATTTAAATAGTTTTTATTTTTTAGAGCAGTTTTAGGTTCACAGTGAAATTGAGCAGAAAGAACAGCGTTCCCATACGGCTCCTGCCTTCACACAGGCACAGCCCTCCCCGCCCCCCCGCCCCGCCCCCCGCCCCCCCGCCGACCAACACCCTGCACCGGAGCGGAGCAGGTATTACAGCCAAGAGACCTGCACTGATGCGTCATGTCACTCAGAGTATGTAGTTTACTTTAGAGCTCACCTAGGTGTTGTACATATTGTGGGTGTGGACAAATGTACGGTGACACATAGCCATCATTTTAGTATCATACAGAATAGTATTGTTGCCCTAAAAATTCACTGTGCTCCACCTGTTTATCCCTCCCTTCTTCCCTGCTAACCTCTAAAAACCACTGGACTTTTTACTGTGTCCATATGGACACAATGTGTGTTCCAGAATTTCATATAGTTGGAATTACACAGCATGTAGTCTTTTCAGATTGGCTGCTTTCACTTAATAATGCACATTTAAGCTTCCTCCATGTCTGTTCACAGCTTAATAGCTCATTTCTTTTTAGTGCTGTATGACATCCATTGTTTGGATGCACAAGAGTTTATTTATCCACTGGTCTACTGAAGAAAATCATAGTTGTTTCCAGCTTTTGGCAATTATAAATAAAGCTACTCTAAAATAGTGCATGCAGGTGTTTTGTGTTGGCTTACGTTTTCAAATCATTTGGGCAAATGCCACGAAGCATTATTGCTGGATCACTTCATAAGAGTGTGTTTATTTTTTAAAGAAACTTCCAAACTGTCTTCCAAAGTGGCTGTACTATTTTTGCATTTCTACCAGCAACAAATCTAAGTTCTAGTTGCTCCACATTCTTGCTAGCATTTTCTGCTGTCAATGTTTTGAATTTTGGCCTTCTCATGGGTGTGTAGTGGTATCTCATTGTTGTTTAAATATGTAATTGCTTAATGACATATGAAGTTGAACATCTTTCTATATGTTTATTTGACATCTGTATATCTTTTTCTTTTTTGATGACATGTCCGTTCAAGCCTTTTATCCATTTTTAAAAATCGGCTTGTTTTCTTACTGTTGAGTTTTGTTGGAACTAAACTTCTCCAGGGTGATGTTGTAGAATTGTTCAGTTTACAGCTCTCCAGCTCCATGGGGTTTTATCTCTGCACGCACGCATGGCTCGGTGTCCAGCCACACACTTGAGGGGCCCTCACTGTAGACCAATGGAGTTCGTTCTCCACATAGTGCCCTCCAATCTCCGACCGCTCAACTGGGCGTGCCCTCTGAGTTCTGCTCAGGTCTACCTTCTTTCACCGTTGTCTGGAAAAGGAACCCAGGCAGAAAGCTGGGGTGATTGTCGGGCTCTCCTTATTTGTTTTCCTTCTCTCAATGTAGTGTTTGTTGCACGAGTCTGATAACAATCATCTCATATAATTTGTCCATTTTTCTCGTTGTTTACGGAGGCAGGGCAAGCTCAGCTTCACTTACTCCTCTGCGGGTGGACACAGGGTTATTTTATATTTTACTATATTTCTCTCCACAGGTATGCCATTGAAATTTTGATTACAATAATTTAACTAAAAATAATATATTTTATAGCTAGAGCTTTTATTTTCAATGATTATATTTGTCATCTCTTATAGTATTTAACATATTAAAATTTTATTTATTTAATTTATTGAGGTGACAGTGATTAATAAAATTATATAGGTTTCAGGTGTACAATTTTATAATACATCATCTGCATAGTGTATTGGGTGTTTACCACCCCAAGTCAATATTGAACTGATTTTTCAATCTACCTCATCCTACTTTATTGCAGTTTGTTCCTTAATCCTGCTTTGTATACCTTATTTTTTCAAATGTATAAATTAAGTCTTCTTCTTATTATTCTGTACTTAATAATTCCAACATCTGAAATTCTTGTTAGGGCTAATCCTGCCATCTGAGGTTTGTGCTGAGTCTTGTTTATGATATGTTGATTCCTTGTGTATCTTGTAATTTGAGGCTCTGAGCTAATATTTGATGAGGCTTTCTCTGCTGGAATCCTTTGAGACTTGGGCTTCAATATCCAGAGCTTTATTTTTGCCTCTTCTGCGTTCTCACAGTGATATTAACCTGAGATTGTTTTAAGGTAATTTATCAGCTTGGGGGTTCCATGGACCCCTTGGATGGTACAAATTAAACCTCTAAACATGCATTAGAGCAAGCTGTGGTAATATATTCTTAGGGGATTTTTTTCCTCTATCCAGAGCCCTAACCCTGAAAGCTAGTTTTTTTAAAATTCCTCACCTGAGGATATGTTTATGGATTTTAGAGAGAGAGGAAGGGAGAGAGAAAGAGAAGGGGGGGATGGGGGAGAGAGATAGAGCCACTGATGTGAGAGTGAAACATGGATCAGTCACCTCTTATGTGTGTCCCGACTGGGGAGCAAATTTGCAACCTGGCAATGTGCCCTGGGAAAGAACCTGCAGCCTTTCGGTGTGTGGGACAGCACTCCCACCAACTGAGCCACCCAGCCAGGGCTTGAAAGATAAATTTTTAAAATCAGCTCTCATTTCTAGTGATGATCCTTTTTCCTAAATTCATCATTACACCAAGGACGTTAACTCTTGTCAGTTCTAAGTCTTAACTATTCAGGGGCCCACAGTCTTTTATCCTTTAGAAAATAAACTTGCATAGTATTGAAACTGACAAATGCTTTGAGAGCAGATGCAGAATCAGCTTTAACTCACCACTTTATTTCCAGTCCCTTTCATTCTCTACCTCTGAGATGATGATGATGATGATGATGATGATAATGATTAATAATAAAATTAAGCTCAGCCCTATATTGAAAAGTATGTTTATTATATTAACTCAGAATTTCTAGTTGATTCACAGTGGGAGAATTTTTGGGGCTACATAGAAAACCATAATGCTTGAAATACAAGCCTCACCTCATTCCTTCACATGGCTTACCCTTTATCTACCTTTTAGGTCCCATCTCAGATACCAACATCCTATCTTCAGCAGCTTTTTTGACCAATTAGTTATTCTTTATCACATTACTCTTTTTATTTTTATTATGCCACACTCTACAAGAATTTTTTTCTATAAGTTTTTCGTGCATATTGTTTATCTCTCCCAGTGCTGTGTAAGGGCCTTGGGAACAGGCCCCAAATCTCTATGTTCTTCCATGTGTGTGGCCACAAAGATAGTGTGCATTATTGGGTATCAAATATTTGTTGGATGAATACTACTTTTTCTTGAAATAAACATAAATGAATGTTTCTAAAAAATCAGATTATGTCAGTGCGTGCAACATGTTGATGTTCAGAATCTCAGTTCAGCGTTTATACTTGTGGTCCCCAATTATCAAAATGTTAGATAATTGTTCTTCAATTATCTCAGTGAGTGTGGCTGAATTAAGAACACATTGCTGCTCACCAACAGGATAATGTTTTTCCAGAAACCAAGAACTGGGATATACTACAGCATTTAAACTCTTTATAACTGAAGGACAACTCAGGTATCTGGACAAATATGGTGGCCTCAAATACAAGCTTTGGACATGCCTTTCATAATATATTCTGATGTTGTTACTCTATTATCAAATCAAAAAGTAAGAAAGTAATATTTATTTCAGTGTGTTGAGATTTCATGAAGTTTTAGTAAGAATTATGAAAATGTCCCTCAGAGAGTAGCCTAAAAATATCTTCAGGATGTGACATGTCCCTACCTCCAAGCCAAATTAGGAGTGCCTGTGTCACCTACCTCTCCCTGTGAGTGAGTCGGTAGGGACTCTTTCACAGGGAATTATATTCGATATTTAGTTATTGTGACACATCAAATTTCATGATAACAACTCTGAGATTAGAAAATGTGATCTAAATATGACTAGATTTTCCTCTTTCAAATCCTGGGAATCTTGTGTGTCAATAAGATCCTTGCACTATTCATAAGAAGTTTCTCTTGGGAAACTCATCTCCTGGAATTAAGGCAACCCTGTACCCTAACCCCAACCAACAATGATAACCATGAGGCAAATATTTATTGAGTGGTAAGCACTTAAGGATCCTCTTATGATGTTGTTGTTATTGTTGTTGTTGTTGTTGTTACTATTATTATCCCCATCTACAGGTGGGTAAACTGAGGGAGAGAGATTAGGGAACTTGCCAAAGGTGGCATGGTTACAAGGTTAGTTAGTGGAGTTCATGTTCTATAACAATTCTTTATATTGCTCCACAAAGAAAAATATATTTAATATTTAGGAGACCTTATGTTTTGGAGGCAAAGCTGTCTCTTGAATTTCTAAGGCTGATGATTCCACGTTTTTTTCCCCTGTTATTATTGGAAAGCAAATGAGAAATCCACACCATGAGCTGAGAGAATATGTGTTTGGGTCATTACATGGAACAAAAACCCAAGTCAGTTGGAGGCTTTATTCATGTATTTACAAGATTTTTGAAAGTCCCCAGGTTGTACCTATGTTAAGCACCGCATCAGTGCCATTTTAGTCAAAATTGTGTAATGAATTTTATGTAACTGCAGCCTCACAGACCACTCACTCACCTGCGGTTCTGGCAGGCCCTCTTCTTAGCGTCTCCACCCCTCGCCTCATCTGGGACTCTTTCTTCCTTCAAATGCTCCTCTGCTTCTTCTAGGGGGCTGCTTTTGGGAAGGATGTATTCAGGTTCGCCAACGCACTCTTCTCTCTGATCGATTTCGATCTGAATTAAAGGCACTTCCCTTGAGCGAAGCGATTGCCTGGTGTGGTTTATAGGGACACCACCGCGGCACAAGGAAGTTTCCTTTTCAGAATCTAAGCTAAGAGGAGTAGCTTTGCTTGGAGAGGACCCGGGGGCATGCTGGTTTTCGGTACCACAGTCTTTCCTCTGGTAATCAATAGATTCCTGGACAAGAAGAATTGGCCCACTTTGCACTCTGCTTGAGGTTAATCTTTTTGCACCCTTGTCCATTTGCCAGGGAGAGCCACCGGAAACCGGCTCAGCGTGGGCTTGGCCGTCATCCGCTATAATTTTGTTCTTCCGCATGAGGGCCTCGATGGAGTTTGCCCACGTCTCATGAATTAACATGGTTGTGATCTGGTCAGTTCCACCCCTGCGATACAAGCAGGAATCGGACTTGCAGAGCCCGGCCGAGGAAGCACCGGTGACCGGCTGTACGCTCAGGAAGTCTCGCTGGCTGTTTTGAGCAAAGCCATCTAAGGAGTTGGCTTTCAATGGCGCGTTCACTGTCAGCCGGGCGCCCAGGGCTCTGCTGTCCGGCATAGACGACTGCCTGTAACACAGCGGGGACCTCGGAGACGGTGACAGTAAACCAGCTGCCCAATCCTGGCTGCTCCGCCTGGAGGAGGTGCTGTCTCTGCTCTCTCTCTCGATGTCCCTCAGCATGTACCTGTAGAACTCCTCCGTTATGCTCTCGGTGCTGGACTGCTTGGAGGGGCAGCTCGGCCTCACACTGAGGTGGTCGCCTCTCCGGCACGCCTGCTGCACCGCTGAGTTCACAATGCTGCTGGCATTCTTGCCTGCGTAGTAATCCAGCAGTAACTCAAATCCTCGTCCTTCATTCTCCATCTGGTTCACCATGAACCTGGAAAACTCGTCGGTGATGCTCTCACAGCTGGACTGCTTGGAGACAGAGCTGGCCCTGCTCCCCGGCTGGCTTAGGGTGCTCATTAAACCCAGGCTGCTGACATAGGCCCTGGCGCCGGCGTCCTCCTCCGCGATGCTCTCGCAGCTGGAGGCCTTCCGCCGGGCCCACCTGTCTCCGCTGTGCAGGCGATTCCGAGGAAAGCTCTGGGCTTGCCAGGTACCGTCCACCAGGGAACACTCGGTTAGGTTCACGATCTTGGCTGCCACTTCGTTTGCAAAGATATTGACAGAATCTGGGATGTCGTCGAGGTTCATCGACTCGTCCACAACCCTGTTCATCAGCTTCTCTTTAAGCTCCGGGTGCTCATCCGTTTTCCTCTTGATCTCGCTGAGCCGTGGCGGCTTGTGTTTCCTCACCGAGGCCCCGCTGGCCTGGCTCTCCTTCTTCCTCTTCAAGGATCGGCAGGACACGCTCGGGGTAACCAGGAACTCATTCCCTCTCTTCCATGCACAGAACCAGGGTTGTTTTCCGTTTGAGTTGTCAAGGCAAATTGCTGCGATTTCAGTTGCCATGGAGACAATGGTCTCTGCTAATTCTTCGGCGAAGTCTGTAATGCAGTATTCCTCTGTATGTTTTGTCCGTAGCGCGGACTGAGCAGGAAGCGGCAAGTCATTCCCTAACAAGGACGGATTAACTTGACCTTCATTGTTTAGAGGCGAGGCACAGTTGTACGTTGCTTGGATGTTTGGACTGAAGCTGTCCTCGCAATCCTGGGAACCGCTGCCGTACTTGGTGGCTGTCAGGGTCCCCTCTCCCTCTGAAGAGGCGTTGCATTCATTCTCACTGTGACTTGGCGTCTGATGAGGGTTTTTTATAGCCTTTCCCATGGTTCCTTTCAGGTATATTCTCTTGGGGGATATTTTAGCAGTGGAAGAACCGGACGCTCTGGCAGCACAAGAGAGTTCAGACTGCTGCACGGGGCTGTGGAAGAGGCCTGGCTTTGCGGAGCCCATGCTGTCCTGCTGAGGAGACATGGCACCCACGAGGTCATCGATAACAAGACTAGTGCTACGTGGACGAATAAGTGGATGGCTGCTGTAGTATTCAGTGGCTTCTGTCCATGCCTGACTAGCAGCCTGCTCAGGTGCCCAGTTGCCTAGTTCGGTTTCCCTCCAACCAATGGTCTCCTTGGAGAGACCGGTGGGAAATTCACCGTGCTGTACAATATGGCTCATCTTCTTGAACGTGAAGCACATCACATTGAAGAGCAGTTGGTTTGTACTTTCCATTAACGTGTCCATAGTTTCAGAAGAACGCCTGCCGCTGTTGGGGTCTGATATTTTATTTTGCTGGTGAACTTCATCAATGGAGTGCTTCAGGATAATGTTGGATAGGGCCTGTGCCAGTTCATTTCCGAGGTCATTTTCTGGGCATGAGCTCTGAGGCTTTGAAGCAGCTTCCACGATTCTTCGGTTCATCGATGCCGTGAGGTCTCCAATGCTGCTGTAGATGTCCGGCCTTGTTAAAACCAGAGCGGCCTCCTTGAACAATGCCTCTGCAATGGCTTCCTTTCCCAGCTCCACGTCCCTCCCTGTTGCTAAATTAAAAAGTGAGGGGATTGCTGCAGAAGACTCAGCTGCAGACAAGACTCCACTCCAAGCCTCAGGGCACTTCACCTCTGCTGTTTCACCCAGGCCACAGACGGCAACGGCACTGGCCACCTGAGTCATGCCACACAAGGCAGATGGAAATGAGTATTCACTGATGGCAGGTTCCTTGAGTACTTGGGATGCCTGAATCTGCAGCGGTTCATTGCATCCCAGTGGATGGTTTGAAATAAGGGATTCTTGCTCCATTTTCAGTCTTTCTGTGGCCTGAGGACTGGAAATAGTACCAATCATGGTGGCCGCACATGCTAATGCCACTTCTAGAGCACTCTGTGGGTGTCTGCCGGCGCTCTCTCCAGAGGGGTCGCCTGAGGTTTCAAAAGAGACTTCCATCTCAGAACATGAAGAGATGCCTGGCTCCGGGGCAGCATTGCTGCCATCTGGACTCTGAACAATGACAATTTTGGGGAGCTCATTCCATGACCGAGAGACCATGATATCTTCTGTGGAACAGCCACTGGGGAGCAGAGCACTTCCTACAGAGACACTGACTGCGGATTCTTGGGGTGGTGTAGGCTGAGACTGGGATAATCTAATAAATGCATCTTGCAGCACAGATTCTGCTAAATTTGTGGCATACTCGCCGGTTGTGGCTTCTCCATCTTGTGTGGGAAGAAGAGAGCTTGGTCTGTCTTCATGATCTTCTGGCCCTGAGCTGTGGCCACGCTCCACGACAGCCCCACGGGCACAAGGTCCATCTTGTGTGAGCACCCTGGGGAAATAAGCGTTGCCTGGAATACACCGTGCCTGCGGTGTTTCTGCCCGACCTAGGACATTTTCTGAGTAACGGTAATCTGTGGCTGTCCTCCTGGTCTCCACAGCCTCACCTTTCCGCTCTGATAGTTTAGCTGATGGATCTACACCCTGTGAAGTTGTGTCTTCTGCTACTTTTTCCAGAGATCCTTCTGTTTTAAACAATGTTGTATGGTATTTGCTAATGCATTTGTTTTCCAAAGTATAAAGGGACTTTTCCTTATTGTAATTCCATTCATCCTGAGTGATTTCCTTTGGCTTCTTACTTTCCATAACATTGGCTGAAACATTTATATTCTCACAACCTAGTGAAGAGAAAATGAAGACCAGTATTACTTTTTGAATAGCAGGTTCTCATGAGTCCAACATAATTATTTTCTAAAAATGCTTGAAAGCATCCAGCATCGTTTTACCCCCCAAATAGCATTTGAATACTTCCTTAAGAAAAATGAACCTGAAAGTCTTCTGTGTTTCATTATGGAATTCTGCCCAGAAAAATTGGTTTCAATGCAGCAAAGAAATACGAGTGTTCTAGTGGGAGAAGAAGGCTTTTGGGAGCTGAGAGTTGGGGAAACTCTCCATTTTTCAGGGGAAAGTAACCCAAAGCTTCCCAGTGAGTAAAGAGGGAGGAGGGGGGATGTTTACAGCAACCTCAACAGAGGGTCTTGTTAAAAAAATTTGCTCAGAAGTTTACATAAGACTTGCCCCAGGGACAGTAACAGCAACCTCTACGGCGTCCACTCCCAAGGCTAAGTGTGGGTAGGAAGTCCATTGTTTACTGAACTCCATTTATAAGTCAATAGAAAGAGTGAATAAATGAATGCTAAGCACTTTCCTGGGTCATTTTCTCCTTTCTTCACATTAGTAATAGTATAATATATTCATATATTACATAATGACATTTCAGCCAGTGCCAGACCATTTCCATGGCAATGGTCCCCTAGGATTATAATGGAGATAAATTTTTTTTTATCATCTAATGACATTGTAGCCATTGCAATGTCATAGCACAACTCCTTCTACTTATATTAAAAAAAAAGTTTGCTGTAAGACTATGCTGTGTCATACCTACAGCAGCCTCATTCATATGAACATATTTTGTGTTTACCAAGTCTTTTGATTGCACCATTTGCTTTTGTTCCGGATTTAGTCTCATGTTGTTCTGTACAATAAAATGCTATACAGGCTATAGCGTAGGAGCAGTAGGCTATACCATATAGCTTAGGTGCGTAGTCGGCTATAATGTCTAGGTTTGTGTAAGTGAACTATGATATTTGCATAACAATGAACTTGCCTAACAATGCATTTCCCAGACACATGATGACCTCATATCACATCATATCAATTGTAAGTATAATAGTGCTATAGGAACTATTATACGCCCAAATTATAGATAAGGGCTCAGAAAGACTAGGTAACTGGCCCAAGATTCCACAGCTTCAAGGATGATATATGTTAGGATTCAGGCCAGTTCCACTTGCTTCAACAAATAGGTGGCTCTGATGGACATTTTAGGGACATTAACTTTCCTCCCTGTGATAGTCTCCATATCTTGGCAGGCAGGAGGATTTCCCTTTTTTTAAAAAAAAAAAATTAAATTCATTGAGGTGACATTGGTTAATAGGGTCCTGTAGGTTTCCCGTGTACAGCACTAGGGTACATGGTCTGTATATCGCATTGTGAGCCCACCCCCCAGTCAGGTCATCTCCTGTGACCATATATTCGGCCCCCTTTACTCTCTCCCACTCCTCTACCTCCTTCCCTTTGATAATCCCCATACTGTTGTCTGTCTGTATCTTACCTGAGCAAATAATTTTTAACAAAGGAGCCAAACACACACAATGGAGATATGAAAGGGTTTCCCTTTAAAACACAGATGTCCTTCAGCAGCCCTCGGGCACCTTTAGGGAGGATGGAGCCACCTAACCATTAAGTGTAAGTGCATCAGTCAGCGTCTCCCCCAGCGTCCTCGTCCCCTCTTTCCTTCCTAAACTCAGTTAGTGAAGATTGTGATGTGTCAGCTGAACTGACATGGCCTGAAACTTTTCTAAAATTGCACGCAGACATTTTTATAGGGTAACTAATTTCAGAATGCACATTTGTTTTATCGGAGATTTCTCACCGTTCCTATATTCTTCCACCTCGCTCTCCTCTTCCAGGTGCTCAGAGGCTGTGAGAAAGTCTTCCTCGATGGAAGACAGGGAGCAGTTTGTGTCATCCTCCACTTTCAAGATGTTTGTTTCCAGGTGGAGCTGCCGCTCCTGAACCAGCTCCAGACCAATCAAAAATTTGTTGATTTCAAAGATGATGCAATTGGTACTGTTTGGTCTGTTCCCTCTCGCACACTGGACCAAGCAGATATCTGGCAGCCAAGGGTACTAAACGTGGAGAGAGAGGAAAAAAGCCATTTTATTAAAAGAGAAAATAGAAAACTATTGACTCTGACCTTTCTTCTACCAATTTCTCCTCTTAGGACTGGGGACCTTTAAAATATCAATATTTGGAAGATCTTCTGAGCTTATCTTGATGAAGTACTTGAAAAAAATTCAAGTGATGTTTGGGAACACAGGGTACCTAGGGGAAAATTTGACAGAGGGGAAAATAGACCAGTTGTATCACATATTTTTTTTTCTTCTGTCAAAGCAAAAACTGCCCTGGGCAAAGTTAAAAAAGCAAGAAAGACTTTTTTCAAAGCTATTAAAATAGGGGAGAGAGGCCAAAACTGAGTTGGACCACAATTCCACTGAAACAGAAGGCAATTGGGTTTTTAAGAGCTGGTATAGAAGAATTGTGGTCCATCTGTGCTCAATAAATGGCTTTAAAAAAAGGTAAACTTATTTTTGTGTCTTCATGATAGGAGGTACTTTTGCAAACTGGAGAAAACCCCCCAAAGGCCTAAATTATTTTGTAAGTACCACAATCCATATGTTTTTATACATCAGCAATGTTGAGGTAGTACAGCAATGCTGTATCTCATCTTAGTCAACTATTGTCAATACCTGCTTATTTATGGATATTCACAGCTTAGCTGCCTTGTCCATAAAAGTTGCTTACCTGTTAATCCAAAAGTGAGGATGGAGATATTGGCAGAGGCCACGCGAGATGGATTAACTGGGGACATTTGAATCAGTCCCAAGGGCATATTTAATGCTCCCAAGGGCCCTGTGAGGAAGGCAGCAAACAAGCCACTCGGCCCCTTGGACCCAGGAAGCTGTGGCACCAATGATGGATTTTGGTGGTCCACTTAAAATTTTTAGTAGTCCACATAACGAGTTACCTCGCTTCTCTTAACTTTAGTTTTCTATTCTATAAAATAAAGATAAAAAACTACCTTTTTCCATTCTCAGAGACTAGTCATAGTGATTTAATGAAATAATATTTATTCAATGAAGTAGTAATACTTAATGAAACAATATTTATTAAATATGAAATAAATTTATTTCAAGTTTAATTAGCTTAATAGTTTAAATATATTAGTTTAATATATTTAATAGTGGATACTATTAAATACATTACAATGCATACAAATGCAGTGGATACAAATGCATACACAGCTACCCATGCATACATGTCTCAAAAAACTGCTGAATACAAGCCAGTGCGCCCCAAGCAGGGAGAAGGCACAACAGATACCTTTTCTTCGTCAAACTGCCCTCAGTAGAGTCTTAAGAAAAGACTCTAAAAAATCTTAAGAAAAATAATCATTACAACAGCCAATGGTCAAGTAAAATACTAAGGGGGAAATACAAGTAACATCAATTATTTTCCTACAGAAAAACATTTTTCCGAGATGCATATTCTGTACGATAAACCTACTCCTGTGGCTGTCCCTTCTATGAGATGAAGACATCATTCCACTAAGCAAGCCTGAGTTTGAGGGGGTCCATGTGCAACGCCCCCATCCTTTCCAAACTGCCCATGTCTTCTGTGGAAGCTGGATCTTTGTTGGCTGGACCAGGAGGCGGAGGGGAGAACTGGAAAGGATATGGGAATTGGAATCCAACACACCTGGCCTGCAATGCCGGCTCTTGCACTTGAGACGTGTGTGACCTTGAAAGGACCAGTTAGCTTTTCAGAGGGTGAAGTGATACACATAGGAAGGGAGGGGGATCCTTGGAAAAAAGCAGTGTGAAGTGTTTCTGTGGTAGCTCACAGGCTATTTTGATAGCGCTTGGAAAAAATATGCGGAATTTTAAATGTGCTTTCGATAGACAGTTAGATAGACAATGTTCAATGATCTACTCTTCTCTTCCTTAATGGACATCTATGCTGCTTTTGTGACCAAACAGCATTCAACCTTCTTTTGGTTTTCAGACCCTGTGGGATGCCGTTTTCCAGCCTACTCACAGTTCAAGCGATTCACATGAAGTTAACTTACCTGCAAGTCCAGAGGTGATCATGTGACCCAGGGCTGGCCAATCTGATATGGCATTCCCCAGGCCACAGTGCTTGGTTCAGAAACAGGCACACGACAAATGAGAGCCAATAGGACATAATGAGACTTTTGCTGAGAACCCCCTGGATGAGACATTCACTTTCTTTTGCCCAACTTGAACCCAGAGGGATATTGCCTCCTAGTGCGAAGAGCTTGCCTGATAATGGGGTAAACAGAGAATGCAGGAGAGGGACCACAGAGAAAATCCAAGGCTGATGACAGTGTTCAAATCCCTGTGTATAACCTACTTATGGGTTTCTTTTCTTACATGGGAAAATGCATTCTCTTTCTGTTTAAGTCAGTTTTCTATCATGCTTAATTAGAAATCCTAATGGATAGGCCTGGTCCAGAAACATTCTTAAAACTCAGGTTTGTAAATTACTTTTGGTCATCACGATTTTGTCTAATATAAGGAGAGGGTATTTAGAGCCATTTCTTGTTCTCTTTTCAGATGATTAATTTTCTCACTAAGGAAGTGTATTATTAGATTAACCTTGAGGAATTTTTTCTAATCTTGATTAACAAAGTAAGATGGGCTGTTTGTACAGGAGTAGAGCAAGAAACAGTGGATGGGTCCCTAAATTTTTTGATATTTTGAAAGACTGAAGAATAAAGTATTTAAAAATTTTCAGCAAAACTAAACCCAAGGAAAAAAGTTTGAAGGAAAATAAATACTCATTATCTTAATTGGTAGCTACCACTATCCATGTATCTTATTTGAGAAAATTAGCAGTTTCTTATATAGTAAAAAATTTATATTTATTAGAAATCTTTTATACTTTTTCTGTAAATTGATAAAAGTTAATTATTTAATTTTTCTTCAAATAAAGAGTATAAAATGATTTATCTAATAACAATGGACATCAATGTGTTGAATGAGAATAATAGCATTTAATTCCTACTTTATCTTTAGTAACATTCTTTTCTTCTGGAAATTACATTCCTTGGGACCAGGAAACTCCATTTGTATCCTGGAAGCTGCTCTCTTGTATTTATTATTTGGCAGTTTGGTGCATCCTAAGAAATAAGTACCATCCAGAAAGAAGAAACTGGGATTCAGGGACCACATAATATGAATTAGAATTTTGGTATTGTTCTTGAAACAGAAGATGAGTTTGTTTTTATTACTCAGTAGGCAGTAGAAATCCAAGGTAACCAATCAATGCCTAGTGTGTCTGCTCTGGTTTTAGTGCCACTTAGCACCATGAACTTGAGAAAATAGTAAATGTCGGGAGTTGATGTAAAGGAAGGTCTGTTGAGCTTTACATGGCAACAGTTAGGAGAAATGCAAATGAACTGTTCAAAGGCTTTTTATTTTTATGTTATAAGGGTTTATGTGAGGTATGTATTTGGGGTTCATACTGATATTTGCCAAGAGCCAACCATAGATAACTTATTACTAGTGAATAGATGTGAATAAACAGTTTATCAAGAGCTTATACATCTTACCTGTGAAACTTTAAAATCTGCCTGGAGATTTCCAGATGTTAACCCACTGAGGAGGACAATTTCATTTTCTTTTGGTTTTTGGACATTCATGGAGCTGATAAGTTTTGGGAGATCTGGTGACACGCTGACCAATTTCTATAGAGCAAGAATCTTTATTAGTTTAGATGACTTCTTTTCACTTTCAAAACTCTATCAGAAAAATATTTTACTCGCAAAAATAATATACTTATATAACTATTAATATTATAGATACTTAATCTACTAAAATTATTACTTAGAAGAGATTGTGTGAAATTGAAGCATAAAGGTTTAGATTGGACTATAAAAGTCTTTAAACACAAAGATTAAGATAATTTTAGTACTCAATTTCCAAAAGTAAACATTTAATAATTACTGTCACACCAAGGTATATTTAATAGTTTAGAAATTTTTTTCTCTTAAGTCTTGGAGTAAGAGACCTGTTGACTAATATTCATCTGTTCTAATAAAGTCAAAAACAATATTAATAACAAAATAATTACTAGCATTGCTCTTGCTCTATGTAGTAGGCACTAAGGTAAAGTCTGTACACATGTGTATGTTATAATTTACCACATTTAATCCCCACAATACTCTTATATTGATTAGGTACCAGGTTTTTTTTTTTTTTACTCTCAAGTAACCTGAGGCCCAGAGAATAAGATTAGTACCTCATGTAAGTGTATGTAGCTAAATCAGTGCCACAGTATCTGCTCTTAGTCTCGAATCACTCATAAATCTCCAAACACACAGTTCTTAAGTTGTCAACTTGCTCTAGCATCTATCTTATAGAAGGACTCTGCACCATAAGTCTATCAAATAAAATCATATGTACAATTCATTTTGAAAAGCCTTCCAGTGCTACACAGATAAATGATATCTGGAGTTCTGTGGAAGGTTTCTGATCAAACATTTTCAAGGAAAGCATTACAAGAGTAAGTGAGCAATTACAGGTCTACTGTCCTGTGATAATCAAGCTGCAATTGGTGCACTATTATACCTTAAAAGCATTGTACCAAATAGTGAGATCGAACCATCTTCAGCTCTGGGCATAAAATGATAATCATATCACACCAATTATTCTTCCTGTTGTGTCCACAGGGTCCAGTTCAAAGGACCGAGTGAGCCTTCAAGGTCCTGCGTGCTATCAAGGATTTACATTAGGACCTTTCCAACTCGGGTGATCTTACAATATTCAGCTACTGCAGAGAGCAGAACGTTTGAGTCCCAGATAAGAGTACAGCTACAGAAGCAAGGTTAGCAAAAAAACATTTAATGATGAAAAAGCGCAGGAAGCAGCAGCCCTGAGAGCTGGAGGAAAGGGCTGCTGGTATCCAGCAGGTTTTGGAAAAACCTTGGCGAAGTCATCTCAGACAGAGTGCTTGAGAGTGGAGAAGGGGGGAGCAGAAAAAGCCACTTTAAGGGATGGGTGGGCAGGACAAAGTGCCTGCTTGGAGAGTAGCCCTGTCTCCTGGGAAAGCAAGTTTGATAATATAAGGCAGACCAGCTGTGTGGTCAGGTGTAGGGGAGGGGTCCGGGCAGCGGGCTGTGAGGAAACCATCTGATGAAAGAGTCCCCTACAAAGTGAGCATCATTTAGAGATGAAGTCTTGTTGGCTCTCAGGTCAGTGTCGCTGCCCTTGTAAGGAGCATGTGGGGAGCCCGTTACCTGCTGCAGGTGCTCCGCGCTGCTCTCATCCTTGTTCACATCCAGGTTCACAAAGCAGACCTGGGAAAAGGGGCAAAAAGAGGCAGTTAAGTGAAAAACCTGGTGGTTCTTTTTGAAGAAAGCAGGAATCAGTTGGGGACCAATGATTTGAGAGTCCTGCACATTTAAAAAAAGCTGATTGAACAGAGGCAGCCGTCTTCCCTTTGGGTTTCTGTGCAGGCCTCTATACACCAGTCATAATTCCCACTGATCCCACCAAATGCCCCCTTCCTTTCGTGGCCCAACAAACAAAGCTTTCTCTTTGCATTAGAGTCAATGTAACAGTCACAACAAAATCTCCAGGTTCACAAAGGGTTCTCAAACGTCATGGAATAGGAAAAAAGACTCGTCATACTCTGAACTTCTGTTTGTATTTGAAATAAACATGGCTCCCCATTTCCCTGAGAAGACAGACAGTACGAGATACCGCTCTTGCTCTCAGCGAGTTCTAATGTGTCTGTGGCCAGAACACAGTGCTGAAACCATGAACGCGTTCTTCCCAGGAGTGACGGGGGTTGTGTGTGCCAGTGGAGGAAGTGGGGAGAATGGGCTCATCACAAATGAAACTGCAGAGGAGGCTGGATGTGAGGTGAGCTTGGAAGGGCGGCAGGACACACACAAAGGCAGAGGAGAGAAAATGGCACAAACAACAAAGGGATGATTGTTCCCTAGTCAGCGCCTGCTCAGTCGTGATAAGAGGCTCTTGGTTCTTGGTTCAAGGTGAGGAGAAGAAGACAGAGGCTGTGAAGTCCAAGGCAAGAGGTACCTCCTAGAAGAACTCCAAAAGTGAGATTAAAGTTGTGAGCAAAATGCCTTTCTTTTTCCACAGTGAAGATTCTGGGTATGATTCAGTAAACTTCTCAAAGAACTGGATGAAACAAGAACTCATAATTCTCTCATAGATCCCTTGTGCAATAAGAGTGCAAGACCAAAGCGTTAGATGCAATATTTCCATCTCTAAAAGTGAGGCTACTCCCTGTGTTATTACAGGAGGTTACAAGGAAACTTTTGGTAATGAGAATTTGAAATGAGTTTCTGGAGGGTGAGTGTGAGTGTTTTATGTGACAAAAATATTAAAACTTGGGACAAAACTTTAGGTTCTATGAGCTGAGTAGTGAAAGGAATGCTTAGGGTCTGGCCTCTGAGGCACTAGCCACGGGAATAAGACGCAAGCACTCTTTGTTAACTCTTCACGTCAATCTGAAGTGATGCCGGGGAGTTATCTGTAAGAAGCCCATGTGTGCACATCCATATGTGCCAAATGACCCATGGAAAGAGCTTTTAAAAAGTATGTGTGCTCATTTAGATATCTTTTCCCTTGAAAATAGTCTACTTTCCTTCAGCCTTCACTGGGTTGTGAATTCATGAGGGCAGGCCTTGCTCACCATTGTATTTTTAGTGTTTAGCATGGCCCAGCATTATGCTGGAGCTCAAGGAATACTTGTGCTAAATGTATATATATAAATGAAGGGGAGGTGCTGTCTCAGGTGATAGGTGTAATAATTACTACCCTGTAATAATTATTTCCCTTATTTATGTAGTGAATTCCAATGTAGTCAATAAACAAAGCTTTCTTCTAGTAAGGCTATAAGGGCCCAGGTAGAGAAGTTACAGGAGAATTAACTGGACTAATATCAATCCACTTATTGATACTGTTTAAAGTACTAAGATTGATTGGAAGTTAGAAAATAGTCCTGGGGATGTAAAGGATAGCATAGGGAATGTTGTTAATAATACTGTTACAACTATGTGTGGGGCTAGGTGGGTAATAAAATTACTTGGAGTATAAATTTGTAAATTATGTAAATGTCTATGTTGTACACCTGAAACTAATATTGAATATTAACTGTAATTAAAAAAGAAAAAAGAAAAGAAAAGAATAGTACTTAGATTGGCTTTTTTGTTCCATGAATAAGGATTTGTTAAAAAGGAGAAAGAGGCAAAAAGTTAAGACCAATCATTAGTAATAAATACACATAAAAGCTTTTAGTGTTTTCCTTGGAACGGGACCTCCTTTCTCTTCACATAAAGAACATTTCCTGTTGTGTCTGCACATGGCCTTGTTTCAACCATCTGCAGACACACTCCGCCAGAAGCAGATGAAAACATCTTCACCGAGAGAACACAAGCACCTCCTTCCCTGCCCCCTTAGCAGAGCTAATTTTGTGGTTGCCCATAACTTTCACATTCCAATGCCTCTCTTCTGTCACTATTATGGTTTTAAAATGAAATGTCATAGGAATAAGTATCACTGGGAAAATGATGCCAGTTTGTGATTTTGGCTTTTACATAATCTAAGTCTTCGATGTAAAGTTTTATTATGTAAAGTTACTTATACATAATATAACTCTTAATGTCCATAGTTAATTTGTTGTCTTCTCTGCTTAGTATTATGGGTTATTCACTCAAACAGTATCGAGTATTTGTTTTACTTGTAAGTCTCTTTCATAAATGGAAAACCATGTAACTACATTTAAAATTTCATAATAAAATTTTATTAGATAGTGATATAATATATATTTGATTAAAGGCTTCTATGAGAGAGAGAATAACAAGAAAACAAGAAAGAATAGTTTGAAGTAGATTATAATTCATAGCAACTTTTGTGAGTTCACTGTATTTAATAAATGGCTTGATTTCAATACAAATTAAGTCAGACAAAAACAATAATTATTATGTTATATAAAAATTTCAGTTTTGACTTTTTTAATTGAAACCACAGGAAAAGAAGTGATGGTTATTGTCAGGGTTAAACCGTATTGCATGCGGACAGTTTTATTTTTTCATGTATTCATTTTAGTCAGCACTTTAGATTCTTCAGATGGTCAAATGTGACCTTTGAGAAATACCATCACTTTATGCTTCCACCAAGGGCAAGTTATTGTGCAAGAAGTTATATGACAGTGGGATCCTTAGCCCAGAATGTGGGACTTTTGACTTCCTCCCTTGGGCATTTTTTCGTATCTCCTGAAGTCAGCTAAAATCTATTAAGAAAATCATTCTTATGGAGATTTTGCTTGTAAAGATGAACAAAAAGCATGAGGTCAAATTGCCTTTAAAATCTAGGCATTTGAATGTTTACTATGACCAAATATATATTTATGCTTTATCTTCAAAGAAACCCAATTCCTTCTTTCTGCAGCTTCTAACAGGGCAAACATCTGGCCATGTGGTGATGATAAGATCTCTTCTGTGATGGTATTAAAATGCTGAACCACGAATCTTCTAAAGAAAAATTTGTCTCCTTTCTTCTCCCAACCAAAAAACTTCTGCTAGACTCAGGACCCAGGACCAAAATTATCTCTTAAAGAATATGACATTTTTCTCTGATTGGTACTTTAGGCGGATGACAACTAAAATGGCAATTTATACATCAATGTTGCCATGCCATGTTGCTGTCAGACATTCTGGAACACACTGATACTGCATTTATATCCAGTTACTCTTGCTTTGGAATGATTGCAGTAATCACACAAGGAAAATATAAAAAACTGTAGAGACTCATGTCTGTAGTTTGGGTAGCTCGATTATTTTGGAGTAGAGGAAAAGCAATTTAAACACAAAAGTACTAAGAATAAATGATAGTGAGTCTAATTTTATTTATTTAAAAATTTTTAAAATGTAAATTAATCTAAACTAGACATCTAACTAGCATTTCTCATATGTTGACAGCCAAAATTGGAAATAACTCCAAACTTTACCTCTCCAGGATGCTTCAGGTATCCCTGAGTAAACACTTCGTGCCTCTTTAATAGTTAAGCAATGATGCAATCCCATTAGTATAGGTTAATATGTGAAAAACAAAAACAGTAGCAATTACTAAATACACATCCTGGGTGATGCTACACAGGGAAGTAAACTGATTATTTAGAAAATTCCATCCTACATAAAACTTATAATGTAACAGTGGGGGATTGTAATGGGGGAATTGTAACCCACTCTGTCATTCTTTTGATACTCTTTCTGTAAACGTTGACTCTGACTAATATGAAGCTTGTAGATAAACAGCATGTTTGCCCAAGAATCCTAGGAAATAACTTAAAAAGATAAAGACTCCCACCTTCAGGTATTCCAGCTCTGGGAGTTTTGCTGATCTCCAAACATAAAACTAGGGTGACATAAAATGAAGATGATGCAAACCAGGATGATGTACACCAGACCATTGCTCGCCCAGTTTTCAGGTCTTTATTACAATGGACTGTGCCAGCCTGCATGTAGAGAACTTTTCAACCCCTTTCCCTTGATCTCTTTGATCTGCTTTTCCTCTTCCTCCTTATAAAAACTTCTACTGGCACTAAGATGTTAAGATGGGCTTTGAGACAAGAGTCTCCCATGTTCTCAGATTGCTGGCATGTGAGTGAACCACTTTCCTTCTCACCAGCACCTGTCTCATGAGTTTGGCTTTTGTTGGGGCAGGTAGCTGGATTTGCATTCAGTTATATTAATGGGGAAAAGGTACTTTCCTTTTTTTGAACAAAATTATCCAGATGGACTATGCACACTGATGAAGGCACCAGGAAGTTGTTGTCAGTTCCATTGCATTGGTTCTCTAAGAACCACTCTACTTGGTTTGCTCTAGGTCTACCTATGAAGCCATTAACTCCAAGGCAGGCATTACAATTACTATCCCTATAGCTTGGTTTCCTGGGGCCCTTCAGAGACTTGTGAATTTAAAATGTTCTAACAGACTGACAAGTGCTTAGAACTGAGCTGCTTTTTAGATATATCACCATTAAACCTCTGCACTTAAGCTCTGATTGTGCAATCGAGTGTTCAGGATGGATGACTCAGCTCTTCAGACACTTGATATTCCCTAACCACTTCAAAAGACATGGGCAGCAATAGGGCAGTGAGCTCAGTCTTTTGTTTTGTTTTGTTTAAAGCTTCATACTTTGATGGTTCTGACTTTCATCATTGAGACACCCATTAATCTGGCCTCATCATTTACAGAAAAAATTTAAAAAATATCACCATAGTTTCCTGGTTGAGACTTAAAATTCCAGCTTCCAGTTGAAGGATAC